ATTTTGGAGGTTTTGTTCTGTCAGCTCCTTTTCTGTTAAAGCTCACCTCTGATACACAAATACATCAGAGTTCCCAGAAAGCTGACTCTGGATGTAGCATTTTCTTTAGATCAAAGTTTCTAGATGAAAGTTTGTAGATGAAAGTTTTTATCCCCTCATTCAAAATTTTGAATGCATTTATTTTTGCTGTCTTTTATCTTTCAAGTTTTCATCTGAATTCCAAACTTACAGCATTTTACTGCTTATTTGGAACATTTTTAAATTTATTCCTCAATTAAATGTTGTGTAGCTGCAATATAAACTCCACCTGTAGAAGAACCTCTTTATGTTCAAGATGTCGAAGCATTCGGACGTATGTAGCGGCACAGTGCTCTAAACTGCACAGTTGGCATTGAGCACCTATAATTTCGTTATACATGTACGATAACAGTAAAGTGCTATTCTATTCTATTCTATTCTATTCTATTCCAGTGCCACCTCTCATTATATTTACTTCAAATGTTAATTTAAAAGTTAATTAACATTAACAGAGAACTTTTTCTCCCTAATAAATAAATTAGACTTCTAGATGAATTTGAAGAACTGGGTTAGCTAATGACAAAAAACCCTGAGCCCCCAAAGTAAACCTTTTATTATGAGATCATATTTATTTGGCCTTACCTTCAAGCCTTTATCCTGTTCAACTAAATCAGTTAAATTTGTAATTCTGTTATAATTAAAATAAAAATCCTGAGCCTTGAAGATATTTGCAATTTGAATGTAAGTAAGCAATGAATATTCACAATATTCTACTATGAATATCCTATTAAGCCCCGAGAATATTTCAAGCACCATTTTTTACAAGCCAGCTCACCTTCACAAAGAACATATGTGGGACCAGGATGCGTCACAAACTTCCACCACAATTTACCAGAAGCAGTGCAAATTAGCAGGGCACAGAAGAGCAGACCTGATGGGTGATTAATATCCTTACAAAAATAACATGATGAAAGTGCAGCTTTTACACTCTGGAAACAACAAGGCAGTCCATATAAAAACAGGCAGTGGATGAGAATGGATATGTTCTGATGTAAGGGTAAAGTCCTGATAGGAACTCGCAATTCTCAACAAGACAGTTTATGTTGGATGTTGCAAAGTTTTGTGCATGTGCTGCAGAGAAAATACATGCAGAGCCGTTTTGGTGCTTCGCATTCCACAGTGAATCCAAGAGAAACACCCGTGATCCAGAGAACCTGTGCACGTTCCTGTTCCTACACTCCACTATTTTCTTTTATCCAGTTGCGATATTTGGTAACTTGGGTATAGATGCCAGGTTTGTTCTTGCGAGCGCAGCCTTCGCCCCAGCTCGTCACACCAGCCAGGAAGACCCGCCCCTTGGTGCTGGTGAAAGACAGGGGTCCACCAGAGTCACCCTGAGAATCAGAGAGGAGAGAGATTATTTTCAGCTTGAAGGTTGTCTGTGAGTCCCAATAAGCATTAA